ACGTCAACTTTGCGTCGTCGAATGTAACACGGAACATTGTCTGTCTGCGACCCGAGGCTGGACTGCAGTTGCCATCTCGCCCGAGACCTCATCAGCACCGCTAGCGGGATTCGAACGTCAACAACGACGCTACACATTGCCACGAGTGTCCTTGCCTCTCAGCGGAGATGTGAGCCTCAAAGCAGATCAGGCGTTTTTCCAGATCACATTGTGTTATGAGCTTCTATTGAGCAAAGTAGTCGATTCGCTAAAACGTCACAATATATTACTTGATTCTGTTTATGAGTAGGCTGCTGTGTCTACTTTCTACAAGCACCAGTCCCCTTATGATCTCGATCAAAACAGGGTGATTACATGTCATATGTATATGATGTAGTGGTAGTTTGGAAAACATACTCATGAAAAAAATATTAATGAAATGGATTGCTTTCGCATATCGGCACACCCAGCACAGAATCGCAACGGCAGTCCACTTCAGCCTGGACGAGAATACAATTTCGGAGACGAGGCTATGCGAAATTGAAGGGAAACATACGGTGACCGAATTGGTCCACTAGTCCCCGTGTCACCCTAAACGAAATTGGCCGAATACATCTCATATCCAAGCAATTTGGCGTGGAGACTAGCTCCGTCTTCTGCCCACTACACTGCTTGAACTGTAGTTGAATCTCTTCAGGAAGCGTTCCAGAGCTCAACGATAGCCTAAAACAAATAAGATTAACAGACAAAGCTTGCATCGTTGCGTAGACTCACCATAGTCGTGAGTCTTCCTTTTGCGAAGACAGACATGCAGATAGAGAAAGAATTCTATCAGAGTCTCAATCACATTCAGCGGTATCGGAAGCACGGTCTTCTGAGAGTACTCGATCACCAAAAAGAACATGTTGAACTTCCAGATCTCGATTGAGTTCGCCTCGACCTGATTGAAGACGTTGCTGTGATTTGGAGAAGAGAGGATACAGGAAAGAGTAAGGTGGATGCAACAAGCTACCGAAGCTAGTTCCTATCTGAAAAAAATTCAACATATTCTGCACTATTCATACTTAATTAAAGTCAACATTTAATCTGCTAAGGAAATGAGGGGAAGATACAGCACATTTTTGTTGCCGACACACGGAAAAGCAGACATACGCACATGCATCTAGCTTGACATATGACGTGAATTTTATACCTCATCAAAGTTCATAGAGTTTGAGGTGAAAGAATACAACATTGAGGGATAAAACAGGGAATTTTCATGACTCGCAAGCTGGAATATGCTTGAGAATATTCGTCATTCCATCGGAATTTAAGTAGATTGCCTCGAGGAGGACATCGGCAAGAATGCTCTGATAAGCCAAACCAACAGTTGGCCGAAAGAAATTCGCCGTCGTCTTCGGATGGGATCTAATCTATTCCAATCTCTCTTAATTTTCCAATCTTTTGATCACATTTTCTCACTCGAAATGAGGAGAAGCTCAACAATTTTCCTTGCACATCCCTTTAACTTTCCTACCTTTTCTCCAGAATCACAAGATGGTGTGCAGCAAATGATTGTAGGTACAGAAAAGTAGCTGGGTTTCAATGAAGTTGGACAAACAGAATTGCTGCGGAGACCTTCAGTTTGCATGAAAACGCTAATTTTACCGAAATACGACGGCTGGTTGCGTTGTTATGCAGCCCTTTTGTCTTGGATACAGCCTTCAGGTTGTCAGAATCCACAGGGCATCACTAGAACCGGAAGTAATTATTGCAAAAGCTTTATGCTACCATCAAGAAAATAGGACCAACTGACTCTATCCTACATGTTAAACACACTCACAACCATAAACGAAAATATATTTTTATAGACGTAGATAGGTACTTTACACGATTGTGTGCTTGTGTGGCAAGTCAGGGCATCGTGAGAGCTGAAACTAATTATTGCTCAAGTTTCAGGTTAACATCAAATCGAAAAGATAAACCGACTCAATCCTACATGAGCTATGAGAATAATTGGCATGAAGGATAGGCCCGGTTAATCTTCTTGTCTTGGATAGAACCGGAGATTTGAGCAATAGTAAGATCCAGGTCTGATGATGTCTGCGGATGATAAAGGACAAAACGAGGGAGGATGTCTCGTGGACTGACTCAACCCGAAGGTGGTTTCGAAACCAAAGTGGTACAGAACAACGCAAACTGGTCGCCGTCCCTCAGAAAGACCAACCGGCAAATCGCTTCATCATGCATTCTTTTACGAAGTAAAGATATCCAAAAGTAAGCAAAAGGATGTCTGGCCCTGACCGAATAATGCAGGAGTTAAACTTGGTTCCAGAAAGAGAGGAAATTGCCGAATATTTTGTGGGATTGTTCAGCTGGTATAAAGCAATTGGAAGATAGTCTGAAATTTCGCTAGTGCACCTGACCTCCGATGTCGGATGGTTCAAGTTAGAACCAGTCCGACGCCAGAACAACTTAATCTCTCATTTTCACGTCCGTATCGACGTCATGTACTAGTTTATTCCTCAACCACCTGCTCTGAAGCGCCTAAATTGAAATTTGCAGGTCCAAAAAGGCTCTCGTGAAGCCCGACATTGTAGCACGAGGAGCAACAGTGACAGGCGACACTTGATTGTTGTGCTGTTGCTACAGACGCGACTGGAGTCGAGGTGGAAACATGCTAGAAGCATTGGCCGTGCATCCCTCGGCTACCGGATATCGTGGACAAGAATGAATTTGATATATAAAACATAGACGACTTAAGTGAAGCTCGCAAATCTCTTCAGCAGGAATGAGCTGCCTTCAGCAGAAATGGTAGTCAAAAGACTTAAGAATGCTCACCTGAAAATCGCAATTAAAAGATTTATCATAAGTGTTCCGGCAATCATGAGATAAATGGCCAAGAAAAGAGGATTGATGAAGTTGAAGACAGGACAGGTGACACCGTCAGATGAACTTGAATCACAATTTTCGGCTTTGCCTAAACAGATTTAAATGTGTCAAAATTAAAAAATATACAAGAAGCATAGATGATAAAAGAAAAAGGAAATTGTGAATTTTAGATAAAAAACAAAGTAGGTTGATGAGAAAAAATAGGAAAAAGGCTAATTTAAAAAGACAATGTAATGTGAAAAATACATGTAAAACTAAAGATAAATTTAAAAATAGCGAAGATATATAAGCAAATAAAATTAAATATAAAATGAAATAAAACGAGCTCAAGTCAAATCAAAAGATCGCAACTCAAAAAAATGATCGGATCAAAGTTAATATAATGTAGAGATCAAGAGTAAATGGTTTCATGACAGCAAAATTATAAAAATTTCAGCTAAACTGATCTGAGCTCATGTAAATAAATCTCAATTCAACGTATATGAATAAATTTAATCTAATCTCATTTAAAAAAAAACCAAATCTCACCAAATCTGATATGAAAACAATAAAATTAGAGATAATTATCTCATGACATATCAATCTCAAAATATTTTATCACATTACAGCTAAAATTATATAATCCAATCAAATACATCTCATTTCATCTATACAAAACTCATCTCATTTCAATTATTCACAACTCATTTCATTTCAGCTAACCTCATCTCAACTTAACACTTCTCACCTCAACTCAAATCATCTCATTTTATCTTTCCTCCCTTTCTCTCATCTTTGCCTCCTATTATCCTTCTTTATTATTATTTATTCCCACTTTTTCTTTAATTTTCTACATATTCATTTGTTATATTTCTTCATTTTCAATTTCTTCCCCCATTTACTTTCTCTTCTCTTCCATCTTACACGCATCTCATATATCTCTTTTACTTTTGGTATTGAAATTCTACTTCTTAACGAATAACTCCAATTCTTTCTTTAACTTATGCATATTTTGCTGCTATTCATTGCATTATTTATAGCAATTTGATCCGCTCCCAAATTCAGATAGATTCGATCTTATTTGATCGTTGTATTTTATGATTGTTGAGCTGCTTTCATTTCGAGTAAAGTGTTGGGTGAAGAGATTCGAAGATCGGTTCCACCAGAAGACGACCAGCAACGGGTTCCTCTTGACCAGCTGTAGATTAGCTTTACCGAAACATTCATGCTGACGCTGTTTCCGAGGCAATACCCTTCGATTCCGGTGAAAAGGTGCTACGCTTTCGTCCGTCTTGGGACGGACCTCATCAGAGCAAGGTAGCATCGTCAAAATCAAATTCAAACTAAAGATTCAAGAAAATTCGGAGTCTGCATGAATGTTCCAGTAAAGCCGATCAACAGCTGGTCAAGAGGAATCCGCCGTCGTCTTCTGGTGGAACCGACCTTCGAATCTCTTCACC